TGGTTCTACTTGGTGCAGCTCTGGGAGACCTCTTTGGCTTCCCCTCCGTCACCTGCTCACCTACTCCTGCTCCCGCCGCACTGTGAGTGTACTGAACACACAAAGCTTGCTTCAACTTCATGCCCTATGAACTTGCTTTTTCCTCTAGCGGGATCTCCCCCCAAATCTGTGCAGCTTTTTCATCATTTAAATCGCAGTTCAAATGCCATTTTCCTCAAGAGTCTTCTGATTATTTAACCCAAATTATGCCTGTCCCTTCACCCCACCAACACTCTCATCACATCCTTAAGCACATCACACCATATCTAAGAAATATGTAAACAGCCTTCTGAACATGTAAAACAAACCAGAAAGTCACTGAAGCTTCATGTTAAGAGTTAGGACCATCAAACTCCCAAAGAAGAGGAAAAGCCAACATTGTGACATTAGGAGATGATGAGAAAGTCTAACGTTTTCTGTGTAAAAGTTAAAGTTTAGGCAAGATTAAGCCCTGCATGAGTGACAGGTGGTTTCATCTTAGTCAGAAGCCACAGTTTAGAGAAGAAAAAGGGCTTGTGATAAACCAGATACCTCCAGGAAGATCACATTGAGCTTCTAATTATTCATTCCTTTCTATCCCATGGCAAGTTTCCTTTCCTACATTGTTCTCCAAAGACTGTGACTGGGCCTGATCCATCTTTGTGCCACCCCAGTGCTCAGCAGAGGGTCTGACACCCACCAGATTCGTTGAACAGAGCCAAGCCTCCTATTTATAAGATGGCAAAATCACATCATCAACATAAATACTGATTACTACCCCAAAGTGCAAGAGCGCTGCACTCGGGGTCCTCTGCAGGTTCAACTTTTGATTCAAAATGTTCTGAGTTAAGAATTATCCCTATGCTGCTAATTCCAGGATGTCTTCTGTCCCTGGACCCCTGGGGGGATCCAAAAGCTCTTAAACAGGGGTGATTTCCTCTTTAAACTATGCCTGCAATTCCAATCTTTACCACCAGGTGACAGAATTATACAAACCTTATCAAAACTAGTTTAATCTCTGACTACTTCTACTTAAAATATGCCCTAAATTAAAACAATATTCATACATACATGCATATATTTTAAAACTTATATTGGCATAGTTTTACAAGTGCAATACCCACAGGTGGCCAGCATTTGGGAAAATATGCAGCATTTATTCATTGGTGGGAACGTAAATTAGAATAGTCTCCTGGAGGGCAATTTGGTAATACACATCAAAAGCCTTAAACATGTGCAAACCCTTTGGCGCAGCAACTCCACTTTTAGTTATTTATTCTAAGGAGATAATCATGGAAATAGGCCTGTATTTATTCCCAGGATGTTGACTGTAAGGGTGAAAAATTATCAATATAAATAATTTAACTTTGAGACTAGTTAAATAAATGATACATAGGATCAAATACTATGTAGTCATTACATTCTCTAAGGATTTTTAATGTCGTGGAAACGTCTTACGATATATTTAGTGAAAAAAAAAGTACAAAAATGATGTCCAATGTAATTGAACTTTAGATGATGAAACTGACGTGCTGCCTACCGTGCTAAGAAGGCACTTGTGATTCTATTTTAAAAGCAATACATATGAAAGCAAACTCACAGGTAAGAAATGCTAGACCCGCCACCACCATCTTGAGAGGACTTATCTGAGGAGCAGAATTAGAGAGGAATGCTTGTTCCTTCTTTGTGTTTTTCTCTAGTGTCCACGTGTTTTACAATAAACATGCTTTTTGTTGTAATCAGAAGAGGCTGTTAATGAATCCCTGGGAGCGGAGAGGACAGCCCAACCTCTGTGCATGGAGGCCACCGACAGGGCATCTGTGCGTGGCTCCTGTGCCACGTATCCTCCAGCCACTCCCATCGGCCCACATGTGGACCTGGTTTCAGCTGAGGGAGTCAGCCTGAGTTAACCCAGAAGAGCAGCTGATGGTCTCCACCATCGCCCCCTGCCAAACTGTATTCTTGCTCTTAGGAAGTGATAAGGTTCTAACACTGACACACACACACACACAGAGAGAGAGAGAGAGAGAGAGAGAGAGAGAGAGAGAGAGAGAGTCCTCCTTGAGGCTGGTCCTGAAGTTTACTAAGCTACTAAAAAAAACCCCTTCTTTTTCTAAAACGGACCATTCTCAAAGTTGTTTTTCTTTCCAAATATTGCAAATCTATGCTGAGTGGATTATAGAATGATTTCTTAAATCCATCTTTCCTTGAGAGTTTCAACAGTGAGGAAAGACAGTGATATTTACGGAAGGGCTGCCACACACGGCATTAGACATGGACTGTGTCTGACACTCATTTAACCCCAGCTCTGCAGGTGTGATCTCCCCAGGCCCAAGAGATCAAGTAACCTGCCCGAGTCCACACAGGTGTCTGACTCAAAGCTCACGTTGATCCTCTGCACATGAGGGGCCTCTGAGGAGGCCCAGGCCCTTTGCACGGGGCAGTCACCCCAGGCCCTTTGCACCCTAGCCTCTGGGATGCTCACACGGAGCCGTCTACAAATATATCCCAGGCTGAGAGCCGGGCAGAGCCCTTCTGTCCTCCACAGGTCAAGAGATGGCGATTTCGGCTCAGACCTGGACCCAGGAGCCCGAAGAAGTTCCTCCCCCTCCTCGCAGGGGGCTGCTTTCCTCCTGCAGGGGAAGCTGAGCCGGGTGTCCGCCCCACCCTGAGGGTCTCACGGAAGGAATGGCCCCAGTCCCGGTGCTGGCGACCTGAATGCCCTGAATCCAGCCCACCCGGGAAGACGCCTACCTCTGTGTAGAAATGGGGGTCTTCGTGTAAGATGGGGCCAGGGTGACCTCAGGAAGAAGGCCATTGTGGGCTGTGATGCCAGCTTCCTGGAGACGTTGACAGGGTCCCCTCACCCCTCACTGGGCCCGGCCTGCTCAGGCTTCCCAGTGATTGGCCAGGGGCAGGGCGGCCAGAGCTGCCTGTACACAGGAGGTAGGGGGGCTTGCTGGACCCCAGCTCTCTTCCTTCCAAGACAGCTCCTGGTGTCAAGTCTGAGGGCCACCCGCAGGGCTCCAGGCACTTCCATCTCTCCATTCCCAGCCCCAAACTTCACAGCGCCCCTTCTCCAGGCCAGGCCCAGGTGCGAGCGAGCCCGCCGTCCCCCCACATTCAACTTCACCTTGAATCCCCGACAGTCCTGTCATGGATCCAGGGACAGCAGCCCCGGGTTTGCCCTGAGTCGTGTTCTGGGTGCTCTAAACCAAGGGGCTTTCCTTTCCCAAGGCTTCACAGCAGGTAAGCTACAGAGATAAGAACCACGCCTAGCTACCTAGTCCACACCCAGCCTGCCACCTGTCAGCCACAGGGCCGGCTGCCCACCCCACCCCTGGGAGGCTCCTGGGAGGAAGGGGTGAGGGAGAAGAGGCCTCCGTGGGAGTCACACACCGGCAGCTGCTCTGAGAACAAAACCGCTGGCCCCTCTACCCGGTTCAGCAGGCAGCATCCTCTGCAAGGCTCGAGGCTAGTGGGGAATGGACCGGACCACTGGGTCACTGTTTGCTCAGAGGAAGCAATGGGGAAAAAGTGGGAGGAAGTTGCTCACCCGTCCCCCCACCCTCTCCCCTCCAGGCCTGTGAATAGACTAGCCTGGGGTGAAAGGGAACTGGGTCATGCCAGGAGTGGTTCTGTGAGTCTCTGGTCCTCCTGAGCTGGTACGGTGAAGAATGCCAAGATGCAGGGCTGAATTTTCCAACCTAAGCTTGTGCTTCCCCAAGACGCTGGATACCCAAAGGCCCAGGTGTGCCCAGGAGATAGGAGCCTGACCCCTGCCTAATAGGAAGCAGCTGGGGACTGTGGCAGGGCCCTAACCCCAGTGCGGTGAGGGCTGGTCACAGCCGGTTTTCACATTTCATTCTTACTTCACGCAGAGTCTGAGAGGCCAGGCTGCCTGCTGCCGGGGGAGCTGCCCTGACCGCCGGGGAGATCCCAAACTACTCGGCCTAGCACAGGGCCACTGCGGCATGACGTCAGTGTTCCCCAGAGGTACCACCGAGTCCTGGAGGGCTGGGTTTGTGACAAATCTTGTGCCTTCGTCTCTGCATTCGCAGAGCAGGAAACTAAAGCTCAGAGAAGGTGAGCACCTTCTCTAAGGTCACCCAGCCAGGAGGAAGTGGAGTGGACCCCACGCCAAGGCTCCCTGGTGCTGGGGCTGGACTCTTCTTCTCCACTTTCTGGGACAGCATCTCCTGCAGGACCAGGGGCCACCCCTGTCCATCACCAGCCGTCCTGACTGCACAGATCTGACCCCTGCGCCAGCCACCATTTCCCTCCTGGCGTCTTCCTGCCCAGGAGGCACAGAACAAATCGCCCCTCCCTTGATGGGCCTGCCAATCCCTTCTTCTGCTGGGCTCTCCCCGCTCTTTCTGATGTACCAGGACCTCAAGATGCTGCTACCACAGCCCTCAAGCCCTGCGCAGGACCCGGGGGCGGCACAGCCACACTGCGTCCTGCTGCTGACGCGGGGCGTGCTCGGCCTGGGCTGCGCTGACGCAGCTATTCCAAGTATGTGCTAACTTTTGGGTTAATTGTAAGATCTCTGCCGAGGGGTGACACCGCAAGGCCAAGCTGGAACCAGCCGGTCTCCTGTTACGTGATGACGAGGAGCGGTGGCTGGGACAGGGAGTCCCCCGCCCACTGAGAAGAGGCTCAGCCTGTCCGGCGGAGCAGGCCACAGTGTGGGGCTGGACCATCGGCTCTTGGCTGGACTTGCTGAAGAAGCAGTGCTAGGTGGCGTCAGTGCTGCCCAGACCCCCACCCAAGCCGCTCTGCTTTGCCTCCTGGGCAGCCCTGGAGATCTGTGCAGCCTTTGTCTCCCCGGAGCTCGGGCTGATCCCCTCCACGGAGAGACCACGGCTGCGGAGGGGCAGAGGAGGAGGCAGGAGCGCAGACAGAGTTAAATCAAGGCTCAGGGAAAGAATATTGGCTTAAGAGAAAAGGGTGAAGAGAACAAAAAATAAAAGACAAATTACCGGGTAGCCATCTCGTCCTGATTGCCCCTGTGGTAATTAATACGTCATTAATAATGAGACTTTCAGCAGAAAGCATATGGCAACACTTAGAACTCAATCAGGGCCCGGCCCCCCACCTGCCCCCGAGTCTCGTGGTGTGCAGCGGAGACAGCTGGTTGGTGGCTCGCTCTGTAGGGGGAGGACTCAAGGGCTCTGGGGACTTGGGGACAGAGCACCCCTTTCCTGCCTCGGAGGGCTAGGCTGAAGGGATGGACGAGGCGCCTCGGGGCTTCCTGGGGCCCCGGGCATAGTCCCATGTGTGTCCTCCCCACACTGGCTGGGCATATGGGGATGTCAGGTTCCGGGGGGTAGAGCCACAGCCACATGACCCAACCAGGAACTGAAGATGTTCCTTAAACTGGGCCTGCAGAGAGGAGAGCCTTGTTCCCTCTCAGTTGCCACTGGGATGGGGTGAACTGAGAAAGACAGCTTTGGAAGCCGGGAACATGGGAGGGAGGCTCACTGTGGTTGGATGCTTCTCCGCCCCCTTGGGTCCCTGGAGCAGTGACCACCCTGGCTGTGCCACACTTTGCCACCCGTCTCCCAGGTCAGATCCTTCTAGGTTGCAGCTTGAGAATTTCTGCATTTGTTTAATACATTTAATATTTTAACCACCAAGTTAAAAAAAACAAAAATCACACCATAGCCCCTGGCGTTAGGTCCTTCAGCAAGGTCACGCACGCTGACCTCCCTGAGACAGCCAGGCAGAACTCAGCAGCGGAACGTTGCTTGAGGCCAATAAACGGACACAATTCTGCTGCCTTGCTTTTTGGCTCATGGTGGGGCTGCATGCACCGAGCAGCCCAGATTCCGAAGGGCACTGATCAGGAAATGAATCACGGTACATGGAAGTAAAAAATAAAATGGCTCATCTCAAAGGAATTCCTTGAAAAGGTTGATTTTGGCTCCGGCCGACTGTCTATGCGCTTCTTAAATGGATTAATTGGGATTTATCAGGCTTTGAAAAACTGACAAGACGAATCAAAGGCAGGCACATCTTGCGCCCTGAATAATGAATGGGGTTTCTAGGGCCACTTGCAATCCCCTGCGTTCGAAGCTGCCTCTGGCTGGCCAGGAGATGTTCAGGGGGCTGCCCAGAGCTTCCCCTCATACCCTTCACACCCCGCACAAATGCAGTGACGTTTTCCTCCTGCCCCAACGCAACAGCCTCACCAGCCAGCTGTGCTCACAAGGTCTCAGCTGTCTGATCCACATTCTGGCAAGGAAGAAAAAATGAACCCCAGGGTCTAGCGATCAAGCCTGACCTATTCCTCGGACAACTGCCTGACTCGACAGGCCTTTCTGTCAAATCATGGGACACCGAGGCATTAGCATTTAGAAACATCAACTGCCATAGCGCATTTTAAAACTAGGGGCATGGTGCTAACATCTCTGTGCACCAAGGTAAGCCCAAGATTTGGCGCGGAACAGCCAGGCTTGTGCTACTGTCTCTCTTGCAAGGGAAATGGTCCCAGAATGTTCCAGGGGACAGGTCAAGCCTGTGGAATTTTGTGTCTGCATTCATCCACAGATTAACAAATAACATGATTCATGTAGAGGACTGATTTTGTTCCCCAAACACGTGATTTTTGGTTTCTGTTTTTGAGACGAAGTCTTGCTCTGTCTGTCGCCCAGGCTGGGGTGCAGTGGCATGATCTCAGCTCACTATAACGTCTACCTCCCGGGTTCAAGGAATTTTCATGCCTCAGCTTCCCAAGTAGCTGGGATTACAAGCACCTGCCATCATGCCTGGCTAATTTTTGTTATTTTTAGTAGAGATGGGGGGGGGGTCTCACCATGTGGGCCTGGCTGGTCTCGAACTCCTGACCTCAAATGATTCGCCCACCTCGGCCTCCCAAAGTGCTGGGATTACAGGCGTGAGCCACCGTGCCTGGCCGCTTTTTAATAGGACCGATTTTTTTGAGGACATACCTCCCTAACCAAAATCATTTTCACGGCATTGCAACAGAGAGAGAGCCAAACATCTTATCTTTCAGAAGCAGGCGGCACAGTCCGGGACACTTACTGGAAAACCTGCAAAACATAAGCAGAGAAGCCGCAGTCAGCGCCCAAGGCAGAGTCGCCTCGCCAGTCCGCGGCACGGTTCCCGGCCACCTCTCCCTGCGAGGCTTTGATGCTGCCGTGGCTGTCTCCTGGCCTCGAAATCAGGCATCAGGCCTGAAGCTGGGGGCAGAGCAGAAGGAGCAGGTTTCCCTTGGAGGGGCTGGTGGCGACAATTCCCACAGGCATGGGTGCATGCGTTTATGTCGCCAGGCAGCTTTGGTTTCTGGCACTGAGTAGGGATCAGAACTTGTTCCGACTTGAAGAGTGAGCTGTGGTGCTCCCGAGGGGACGGTTTGTTTCTGCTGAGTAGAGAGACGAGGGGAGTAAACATTTTGGACAGAGGGAATGCTGGGGGTAAGGGCAAATGGGTGTGGCCGAACAGGCTTTTTGAAGGAGGGATTCCTGCAGCCCAGCCCGAGTTGGAAATGCATGAGGAGTAGCAGGGGCTGGAGCCGGGGCTGGGGCTTGTCTACCAGATGAAGGCTCACGGAGGACGCCTATGGTACCCACGGGGGCGTCCCCTCACAGCCTGCGAAGCCCGTCGCATGCCTGTTACTGCATCTGACTTTCCCAACCATCTTTTGTGAGAGGTCTGATGAACATCTCTACTGGACAGCTGGCAATACAGAGGCTCGCTGAGCAGCGACTTGCGTGGGGCCACGTCATTGGTTAGGGGTAGAGCGAGTGCATGCTGGATGGAGCGAGTGTCCCAGCTGTACCACCCCTCGGCGCTGCGCACTAAGCCACTGCCAAACAGACCCCGAACATCACTCGAGAATGAGGCCGCACCGGGAGGCAGCACCCGGCAGTCAGCGGCCGGCACGATTTGCTCGTCACAACTATGAGCCGGGAGCCATGGGGGCAGCTAATGGGACCAGGGGTGAGTGCAAGACGTAAGACCCCGGGCTCACGAATGCCGATGAAGCAGACAGATCCTTACGAGGACAGCTACACAGGGAGAAGGCCAGGAAGCTCTAAGCACAGCACAAGGGCTCTGACCCAGCCTGGGCCGGGTCCCGAGGGTGAGAAAAGAGGAGAGGGGAGTGTTGCAGAGATGAAAAAATCAGAACGTGCCAAGATCATGGGCTTCTGAGGAGCCAGGAGAAGTGGAGGCCGAGGCAGCTGTGGGAGGGCTGGAGAGGGCAGGGCCAGCCAAGCCCAGGGTTTGTTTCCATGGCACAGTCTGGGGGGCTTGGTTCTAAGGGTAAAGGGGAGTCAGCAAAGGGTTCTGCATGGAGGAGTGATGGGGAGGGGCAAGAGTGCCCCTGGAGATGCGCCCAGGTGTCCCCCTGCACGGTGCTGGTGGGCGAGGGGGAGAACCGAGAGTCAGGAGATGCGGGTCAGAAGAGAGACGGGGTTTACATGGTGGAGGGTGCACGGGGGAGAGAGAGACGACAAGGATTTCCGGCTTGAAACGCTGATGTGCTCCTATCCAACAATGATGACGTGGGGGACAGTGGTTTCCCCAAGTCTAGAGCAGGGGCAGAGCAGAGCAAGATGGTGGCAACCGGGACATCCCATCGAGCTGACTCCTCACTGTGAGCCAACGACCTGGATTCCTATTTTCCCAAGAAAACACAAGCTGCTGGACAGGTTGGCCATCGCCCCTCCAACACTGGATGTGTACATCCGCGCCTGTACCTGAGCCTCAGCCTGCCCGCCCCCGCGCCTCCCCCGTGCACATCTGCGTCCACACCTGTGCCATACCTGGACCTGCCTCTCCCCCTGTCTTCCTCCCCATGCCCCTCAGCTTAACTCGGAGGAACTGACCCACCTTCAATTCAGGCCACTGTCCCCTCTGTATTGCCCAGACCCATCCGCGGTCCCCCTGGATTTTAGTCACACTTGCCCTGTCAAGCAGGTCCTGCCCGACAGCTCCTGAAACACGCTCTCATTCCTCGGATGGCAAAGCCACCCCTCAGCCGCACACCCCCTTCTATTCCTGCCCTACCTATGCTCTTTTCCTCACAGCCAGAGAGTGGGAGGTGGCTTCAGAGGGGTGATGGGGTGGGGCGATTGGGTAGGGCCTTGGCCATTCTTAGGACTTTGTCTTTTCTCTGAGACAGAAGCCCTGACAGGGTTTTGAGCACAGAGAGGATGTGGCCTGGCTCATGTTTGAAAAATCCCCTGTGTTGGATGGCAGGGGTAGAACCCAGAGGCTACTGCGTGCTGCGGGGAGAGAGGACGGTGGCTCACAGCTGGTGGTGGCGGTGGAAGTGGTGGATGTGGTTGGGTTCTGGATTGATTCTGACAGCACAGCCAAGAGGATTTCCCCCGTTTTGGCTTGAGCAGCTGAAAGGATGGGGCTACCATCAACAGAGGTGGGGAGATAGTGGTGGGGCAGGCTTGGCTCAAGGGGTCAGGAGCTTGGCACACGTGGCACTGCTACAAGTTGGAGAGAAGATAAGGAAGTCCTGGAAGTGAAGTAGAGAAAGTGCCTCAGGAGGGAGAGATCGCCTGAGCACAGGACACAGTGATGGCCCTGCTGAGGGGTCGAGTAAGGAGACCAGGAACTGGACGCAGCCACGCACAGGCATGTTCAGGAAGTGATGGGAGTCGGGGCTGCTGGGAGAGGGTTTCAGAGTTTCAGAGAGAAGGGGGTGGATGCGGACAGTGGGTGCTTTCGGGGAGCTCCGCTGCAAAGGGAAGCAAAAGAGCTATTGCTTTGTGGGGCTGGGGCCTGGAGACGGGTATTTCTTTAGGATGAGAGACATGGCACCATGCTCGTAGGATGGGAGTGGTCCAGCAGAGAGGGAGGATTCAGCGTGGGGGAGGAGGGGAGATCCCTGCAGCAAGAGGGGAGTGAGAGGGGCTGGCTCTGGACGCTGGCACAGAGGGGGCCTGGACAGTGCCTCTGCGGAGACCGCAGGAGGAGGAGTGCACGGCGCTGCTAGGCACGTGGCCATGGAGGTGGCGCTCGGGCAAGTTCTCTTCTGATGGTGCCAGCTCTTTCGGTGAAGTAGGAAGTGAGGCCATCAGCCTCAGTGATGATGGTGCAGATGTTGAGGGGTGGAGCGGGGGGAGGCTGAATGGGCTGGACAATGTGGCCTCAGCCAGGCAGCAAAAAGGGCCACGGGGCCGTAATCTGGAATTCCAAGGGAGACGACGGGGGTGATCTGCCTGTACTGGAGTGCAGCATGTGGACGGCTGGCTTCAGTCTGGGGTGGGGCTTTTGGGGAGTGAGAAGGAGGGAGCAGGGAGGAGCAGGGAAGTGGCATGGGAGAGCTGTCGGGGTTCCAGCTGGAGGGCTGAGGGGTGAGGGGTGAGGGGCGAGGGGCTGGGATCCATGGATCTGAAGGCTGGAGACAGATGGGTTGTGGCAGTCAGGGAGTGGGAGTGGGCTGGAATTTGTGAACTGAGAATTTGTGCATGCTGCATTTATATTGGGCAAGACCTCGGGAGGGAGACGTTGTGGTCGGGGGAGGCCATGCCTATCGGAGGAGAGGAGGTGGTGGAGTCCTGAGGCCAGCCTGTGGAAGAGGCTTCCATGTGGCTATCAAGATTCCTAGGAATTAGCCCAGAAGTACTGTGGGAGAGAGGGCTGGTGACCCAGGAGGTAGATGTACCTGGGATCAGAGGTGGCATCAGGTATGATGCCCTATCACCACCCTGGTCTCCCATTCTGGGGCCAGAGTCACGTTTCTCGAAATGCAGATCTGATCCTGAAACTCCCTCCTTGCTGTCTTGTTCCTAAGACAAAGGCCCGAACCCAACAGTGCCTTCCATGTGGTAACGCGTCTCCCCCAACCACCATCTGGCTCCCTCCACAGTGCTCCCACACCTGAGCCTCTGGGAATGGTAGGGGGAGATGTGTTGTAACCACGAGTTACCATGAAAAAATGAAATTAGATCCACGCCTTAGCATCAACCGGGAAAAATTCCAAAAGGATCAAAGATTTTACATGTTAAGAAAACCATAAAAATCTTAGAAGAAAATGTGGAAACATTCCTTTCTAGCCTTAGAGAGGGGTAGGCTTTTGCACCTATGGTTCATAATTCAGAAGCCAGAAAAGAGAGGTCTGATCCAACCATATAAACCCCCAAAACATCTGCAAGGCAGAAAGTCTTGGAACGAAGTCAAAAGCCAGCCTAGGCCGGGCACGGCGGCACACGCCTGCAATCCCAGCACTTTGGGAGGCCGAGGCAGGCGGATCACTTGAGGTCAGGAGTTTGAGGTCAACGTGGCGAAACCCCATCTTTATTAAAAATACAAACAAAGAAAAGAAAAGAAAAAATTATCTGGGCATGCTGGCATGTGCTTGCGATCCCAGCTACGTGGTAGGCTGAGGCAGGAGAATGGCTTGAATCTCAGAGGCGGAGGTTGCAGTGGGCCAAGATCACGCCACTGCACCCCTGCCTGGGTGACAGACTGAGACAGTATTGCTCAGAAAAAAAAAAAAAAAAAAAAAAAAAAAAAAGCCAACCTAGGAAAAATATATCTAACTCATGTCACAAAGGCCAGATACCTTGACATAAAAACACACCAGCCTGGCCAACACGGTGAAATCCTGTCTCTACTAAAAATACAAAAATTAGCTGAGCGTGGTGATGCGTGCCTGTCATCCACCTACCCAGGTGGCTGAGGCAAGTGAATTGCTTGAATCTGGGGTGCAGAGGCTGCTGGGAGCTGAGATTGTGCCACTGCACTCCAGCCTGAGTGACAGAGCAACTCTGTCTCAAAAAAAAAAAAAAAAAAAAAAGCTTTTCCCCCAGGGACACAGGAAAAAGGCCGCTTTATACAGGGAAGGCAGAAAATCCAGGATGCATATGTGTGTAACTATCTAGAAACAAATACCAGGTGCAGCCAAGGCCAATCACGGAGGCACATCTGCTCTGTGCAGCTCACTCTGCTTTTGGACAGGCAGAGAAGAGGGACGCCATGCTGGAAAAACAACGAGGAGGAGATCCTACCCGCTCCTTGCTGAGCAGCTGCCTCAGGCAAGGTGCTGCGCCCCTTGGAGCCTCAGTTTCCTCATCAGCAAGTGGGTATAATAACATCTTCTTATCTTGCAGCGCTCTGAGGATCACATGAGATAAAGGACTTGGAAGCGCCCAGCACAGGATCAGGGGCCCAGTGAGTCTGTGTTTCCTTGACTTTGAGGTTGTCGTAAACTTGAGTTTTAAATGGATTTCGGAGTAAGCTGAATAGCATTATACTTTGTCCTAAAAAAGTGACTCTGTATACATTTGGTGTGGGCAGGGGCGGGACTTGGCGTGAGCAGGGGAGGGATCGAGGATACAGTTCCTTCCAAAAAGCATGTCAGGAACTTACAATAAAAGGCAATAAAACCTTTTACGAGGGTAGCAAATAAGAACTGGGTAATGAAGCGTGCATTTGGCAGGGTATGGGGTGATCACACACAGAAGCCAGGCTAAAGGAAGCTCAACCCGTTGAACTCAAACAGGCTTCAGCTTCCAGAAGTCAAGGCAAAAAGAGACATGAAGGATGCTTCCTGTCGGTGAGCGCTAAGGAGTTTATCTGGAGGGCCCCCGCCTAAGGAATGCGACCCTGCAAACCCAGCAGAACGAGGAGGCAGAAAGTCTGTGCCCAGCTCCAGGGAGGAGTGAGGCCTGGAGCAAACCTGCCCCTGCCTCCCCGTGGGCCCAGTTGGCCTGGGGTCCTCTTGGTGGTGGGCTGGGCCAGCTTCGTCACCATGGCCACCTTGTGAAGTTGCTTAGGGGCTGGGCACTCATTCTTTCGCTATCCCCTGCATTTACAGGCCTGGGGGCTGCTTGTGCTGAGGGTGGGGTGATACCTCTCAGCCAAAACAGTTAGAGGTTTTTTGGAGAAGATGATTGAGCGAGGCTTGAAGGGCAAAGGGTAATAATCTCCGGTGAGTCCAGGTAGAGGACCCCTTCTGGGTGCGGGAGGACATGAGTAATGGCTCAGCAGCTGGAGGGCCCTGGACATCCATGGTGAGGCTGGAGGTGGGGGCATGGCGTGGGGGGCAGTGAGAGTTGTGGTGGGCTGTGGTGGTGAGAACAGAGAAGAGGACCCGGGTCTGAAACGGGCGGAGGAGGAGGCTCGAGGGGACTTGGCGGGCCGGGGAGGGATGGAGGATGCAGCCAGGTGTCTACACAGCGAAGCAGGTGGCTAGATGCCTCCTCCCTACAATGGGGGAGATGCTGGCTTCAGCAGGGCAATGTCCAACCTCGGGGACCCAGAGGAGAGGATGTAGCTGGAAGCAGGGAGAGGACCTGGTCAGTATCACAGGCCTGGGAGACTGTGGGGGGACAGGCAAGAGAGGAGAGGAGGGGAGGGGAGGGGAGGGGAGGGGAGGGGAGGGGAGGGAGGGGAGGGGAGGGAGGGGAGGGGAGGGGAGGGGAGGGGAGGAAGGGGAGGGGAGAGGGGAGGGGAGGGGAGGGGAGGAAGGGGAGGGGAGGGGAGGGGAGGGGAGGAAGGGGAGGGGAGGAAGGGGAGGGGAGGAAGGGGAGGGGAGGGGAGGGGAGGAAGGGGAGAGGAGGGGAGGGGAGAAAAGGGGAGGGGAGGGGAGGGGAGGGGAGGGGAGGGGAGGAAGGGGAGGGGAGGGGAGGGGAGGAAGGGGAGGGGAGGGGAGGGGAGGGAGGAAGGGGAGGGGAGGAAGGGGAGGGGAGGGGAGGGGAGGAAGGGGAGAGGAGGGGAGGGGAGAAAGGGGAGGGGAGGGGAGGGGAGGGGAGGGGAGGGGAGGGGAGGGGAGGGGAGGAAGGGGAGGGGAGGGGAGGGGAGGAAGGGGAGGGGAGGAAGGGGAGGGGAGGGGAGGGGAGGGGAGGGGAGGGGAGGAAGGGGAGGGGAGGGGAGGGGAGGAAGGGGAGGGGAGGGGGCCAAGGGAGATTCATTCACAGGGCAGGTCGCGGGGAGTGGCCAAGGGTGGGGGTCAAGAAAGAGAAAGACAGCAAAGCATCCGGTATGGCCATCAGAGGTCAGCGTGACTTTAGTCAAGACGACGTCAGAGGGGCTTAGGGAAGCGTCCCTGGACAAAGGGGGCAAACTGTGGGCAGGGGGAGTTCTGGGTGAAACAGAGACAGCAGGGAGGAAGGGCAGTGAGTACAGGTGCCTCCGAGGGCTGCGGGGAAGGGAGGTGGAGGAGTCTCTTCCTGGTGGCTCTGCTAAGGAAGGACAGGCCACATCTTGGGAGGGACGAAACCCATAGGGGAATCGCGTTGTGTTGAAGGACCCTTGGGGGAAGCCATGGCTGGCAGAGTCATCACTTGCTGCTTCAGAGGGAGGGGGCTGCTTTGGAGTGGGAGACTAGTGGCCCAAGTGTTCAGGGCCAACAGTGAGATTCGGGGGATGGCTGGGGGCAGAGGGGACAGTCCTGGAACTCCGAATGCCAACAAGCCAGGGAAAGGCAGTCCTGGGTGCTGTGACCTCCGGAAACAGCAGCTGGACTTGGAAAGGGGAGCGGCACCTGCCCCGGGCCGAGGCCTCACTCAGGGTGGGGAGCAGGTGGTCAGGCCCTGCAGCCAGAGCTCAGGAGCTGAGAAAACCTGGGACTCACCAGGGTCGCCTCTTCTCCCAGGCTTGCCACGCCGTCCAGGGGGCCCTAGACGGGAAAACAAGGACGCATTCATTGAGAAGGGAAGCCAGTGGGCTCGGCTGCGTGGGGCATGCCCAGCCCACCCGGCCCACACACCCGCCCGCCTGCAACAGCTTTCTGGGAGTGTCCTGCCCGAGGGGGTCTGCGGGCTGTGGAGGGGGGATGCGTGGGGAGAAACCCCCTCCTTCTGCCACTACCTCGCCCCTTCTGCCAACCCCCGTCCCCAGGGGGCTGCAGCCCTCGCATCCCACACACTCATTCTGTTACTCAGCCATCAGTTCACTTAGTCATTCCTAGGCCCTCCTGCAATCACAGAGATTTGCAGCCGAGAAACTTCAGACTCAGGAGGAAGGTAAGGGTGGAGTGATCTTAGGAAGGCCCTGACAAATGCTTCTTAATATTCACTCAAGTAAAACAACAAAGCCAGCACAACAGAGGCCGTTCCAGCTGCGCAGCGCTGAACTGTGGTCCTGACAGGCCCCACGCCATCCGGCTGCGGTCCCATGCCGCTCCCAGCGGCCTCTAGCTCCTTCCCCAGAGCCAGGAGCTGCTCAGCCGCCCGCTGGGCTTCCTTTCCACATCTGTCCTCCATCTGTGCACTGTAAGCCCTTCTGAATTGACCGTGCGGACCCCCCACCTCCGCCTCTAGCCCCCCCGCCCACGTAAGACCCTGAGACCAGGGTGACCTCAATGCTGAAGGAGACGCCTTTGCTCTGGCCATGGGAGCAGAGGTCTGAGGCCTTCCTCTCCTTCCCCTCCCCTCTGGCACTCACTGCAGTCCCTTCCTGGAACCCCTTCTCGCCCCGTTTCGGTGAAGTTCGATACAGGTACAAGATTGCAATCTGTGAATGGCATCTGATACATCCCGCTCACCCACTGCATGCCAGGCTCTGGGCTGGGCCTGGAGGTGACAGTGGGACAGGTTGTGACCCTAAGATAAGGGGCTGCCCTTTCCTGCAGAAGCCAACCTCAAACCCCCTCAAGAGTTTTCAGAACCACCACGGAGATGCAGGAGGCTGGCCCTAATCGCATCTGTGCGGGATGGTTCATGGAAAAATGAGTGTGGGTGTCCACGTGGATCTGTGTGAGTGTGTCTGTGTGTGTCTGTATGTATGCATGTCTGTGTGTCTCTGTGTGTCTGTGTGTCTTGTGTGCGTGTGTGTCTCTGTGTTTCTGTGTGTGTGTCTGTGTCTTGTGTGTGCATGTGTGTGTCTCTGTGTTTCTGTGTGTGTCTGTGTGTCTTGTGTATGCGTGTGTGTGTGTCTCTGTGTTTCTGTGTGTCTGTGTGTCTTGTGTGTGTGTGTGTCTCTGTTTCTGTGTGTGTCTGTGTGTCTTGTGTGTGCGTGTGTGTGTCTGTTTCTGTGTGTCTGTGTGTCTTGTGTGTGTGTGTGTCTCTGTGTTTCTGTATGTGTGTCTGTGTGTATCTGTATGTCTTGTGTGTGCATGTGTGCGTGTGTCTCTGCGTTTCTGTGTGTCTGTGTCTCGGTGTTTCTGTGTGTGTCTGTGTTTGTGTGTGTCTGTGTCTTGTGTGTGCGTGTGTGTGTGTGTACATGTGTCTCTTTTCCTACTCCCCAATTTTTGGCAGGTGGTCATGCCCATTTGTACCCCCCTGCCCAGGAACCGAAATGGGGCAGAAAAGCAGAAGCAGTGCAGGATTGGGCGTGCTTCCCGACTTTCGCTAAGGGAAGGTGGGGAGGGAGGGCCAGCCTCTGAGAACAGCGAGAGAGGAGAGATCCCTTTCGGTGGAGAGGGCCCCTCAGTGCTATGATAGACGCCAAAAGCTTTGCAGGCCCAGGGGTGAAGCAAGAATGACTTTCTTGCCAGCCTCATGGACTGTGGACTTGAGGTCAGGATGGTTAAACAAAATTTAAAAATGAAAAACGTGTTACTTCTTGCTCTCCTGAGCTGTAAGGGCAAAAACCCATGCCAGTGACGTAGGCCTTGGTTTTCTTCCGTTGTGGACATGGATCTTGAGTTTGGGGTTTGTGCTGGAGTTGCCAGGGGCCGTGTGGACTCGGCGAGGCCAGGATTCTGGGACCCCCAGAACAGACAAGAGTTCCTCAGACTGCGTGGGTTACAGATGACGAGCCACCTCCAGGACCACGCTTTCGGCCGAGACCTGCGACACTCACACTGCACGGCCAATCACCTTCCAATCTCCACGCGCCTGTCCCACCAGCATCTCAGACCCGCTGTGGCCAAAACACCTGCCTCGATCTCCCCCCAGTGCCCTGCACAGGGCTGGCGGCGCTGGGAACCTCCAGAGCCAGTCGCACGAGATGACCCAGCCCTGGTTATTAACGAAGCACCAGGTCTGGGGGGCAGGTCAGCACTCGGGTCGCCTTTCTTCTCTTTGAGGCTGTTTTCAACGAGAGCGAAGTATGGGAACGGGAACCCCCCGACACACTCGGCACTGCGTTCCTCTCCTCTGGCTGTAGGAGGAATAGGAGTAAGGCCCAGCGGCCACCCACAAAGCTTCGGGACTCCTGCCAGGGTTGTGCTCGGCTCAGCGAAGCCGCTGGCCCCGGACCCCGGGCAGAGTGTGGGGCACAGCAGGAAAGGGGCCGTGAGTGGGGGAGGAAGCCAGGCTCTGCTAGATCTGAAGCAAATGCAGCACTGTGCTTTCCTGATGGGCATTGCTGGGTACGACTAGGAAGTTCTCTGCCTGGGTAACTGAAGCCAGATGAGGACATTTGCCTGCATCGGGGTGGCTGAACTAATGGATTTGTCTGGTGGCTCTCCTGGGTGGCATGGTTAGGCAGAGGCCGACGGGGAAGGATGCCAGGAGGGTGGGCAGCTGCTGGGGCAGGACTGGGGTGTTGCTGAGCACACAGGGCCTGTGAGCCACAGGCCAGGCAGGCTGGATGTGGCCCCAACTGAAAGGGCGCACGTGGAGGGAGAGGATGAAGCTGCTTGTGCGCACTCCTCAGGGCTGATCCAGGCACAGGGTGCAGATGGACACCCGGCCTGCCCTTTATTCTGAGCTCCGTATCTGAATGTCCAACTCCACAGGGAGACACCACTTCCAAACTCAAACTGGCCTCCCAGCTTCCTGCGCACCGTCTCCCTTGCTACCTACGTGCGGGTCCCGGCAGCACCCAGGCAGCCCAGCCAGAGGCCGCCGGGCATCGCCCTGCCCCAGCCCCCAGCCTGGACCCCTTCCTTTCCGGCATCAGGCAAACGCTGCCCCCGCCCCGGTTCCCCGCTCTGCCACTCACCCTGTTTGCCGTGCCCGATTCTGCCTCCCGCAGTATGCACTCTGCATCGCAGGCAGCTCTGTGTCCCCAGCTCCCACCGCAGGACAGGACCAAGTGACTGTGCTCAGGGGAGGAAGGAGGGAGGGAGGGAGCGGACAGGCAGGGAGGCCTCAGGTCTCCTCACTGCTCCTGGCATTCTGAAAAGACTGCAAGTCCGGCAAGCCCCAGAACTTAGGAGAGACACCGGGCCACACGGTGTGATGTTCAGGGGCCAGTGAGACAGGGGACGCCTGCCACCCTTCCTCCTCCTGGACGGCGAGAAGACAGGTGGTGAGGCCCTGAAAGAGGGCGAGCATGCGAGAGCCGGGCTCCACTCTAAGCGTGGGCTTCTATTCTGCTGCTTTCACCAACAGGGAGGCCAGGTGCGCTTGGGGACTGGATTGTGGGAGCCACAGGGAGGGGAGGTGGGACAGATGACCCTTCCTGAGTCTCAACGACCCTCAGGTGCTGAGAGCCTGCCACGGGCAGCCACCTGCCTTCAGCATCTACTGGATGCCAGGCCGGCTACTCACCCAGCAAGCACGAACTCGGGACTTTTCCCCCAGGTCTCCCCGTGCCCACCCAGCAGGCTCACCTTCTGCCTCACCAGTCCTCTGAAGAAGGTGCTAGTGCTCACTGTACAGAGGAGGAGTCTGGGGCTAAGCCAGGTGAAGGGACCTGCCTAAGGCTGTGTTACCAGAGCCTCCTGGAGCCCTTCATAGTCTGTGGCTCCTAAGTGTAAGGACAGCTGTGCCCTGCATGCTGGCCAAAGGGCAGGTGGCCTTGGAGACCAGGGAGGCTGTTCCCTGGGCTTGTGGCCCCTTTGCTGGGGCTGGCTGCGCCCCAGGGTATCTGGGCCTGGCGTGAAGCAGATTGTCCTGGCCCCTAGGAAAGTAGAGCCAGCCTGGCTGCAGCTAAGACCTGGCTCCCACAAGCAAAAGCAGGCCTCTGGGCCAGGCGGTTGGCCCCAGAGTTTTCTCTCATTTCTTTTTTTTTCTTCCTTCCTACAAGTCGAAGAACCTCTCCTGAGACACAGACACTCAGGAAGACACCGAGAGTCTGTCCTGATGGATCTGCTCATGTGAAGAGGGGGAAACTGAGGCTGCAAGGGATGGGGCAGGTCTTGCCCAAGGATGCTCCTGGAAAAACTGTCCCAGCTGGAGGGTCTAGTGCTGAGGACCACCTTGGGCTGGAAGAAGGCCATTGTCCCCCCGTCTGCACGGGACCCACATAGCTCTGAGCGAGGGGCTGGCTGCTGGGGAGCGATGGTATGTTACAGTGGGTGCTACCATAGTGGCATCTGCAATACTTCCTTTCAGAGGTTGTGGCGAGGGGTGTGGGGTGTGCACGAGCAGGAGGGAAGGAGCTGGCTGGTGGAGAAGCTGTGTCTTCTGAGCAACTTACTCAACCTCATTGGACCTTAGGGCTTCCAACCCGGGGGGATGGAGGTTTGGGGGTGGTGGCAACCAGACCTACCTTGCAGAATCATGAACCAGATGAGCTGGCAGCAGACACACTAGCCGGGGGCACAAAAGGGGTGCTTATTTGGGAACCCAAGAAATAACTGGCTGCAGGGCCCTCTGGGCCATTATAATGTGGGGCTTTAATATGAGTGGGTTCTTTTCTTTTTGTGTGTGTGTGTTGGAGTCTGGCTCTGCAGCCCAGGCTATAGAGTGGCGTGATCACAGCTCACTACAGCTTCAAACTCTGGGCTCAAGCGATCATCCCGCCTCGGCCTTCCCAAGTGTTGGGATTACAGGCCTGAGCCAC